CACAGGGCCCTGGGGCAGAGGCACCACTGCCAGCCTGTACACTGGGCCCCTGGAACCCAGAGAACACTGTGCTTGGTCATCTTTTCTGTGGCGAAGCTCTGTTCCCTTCCTCAGCAGCAGACAAGGTCTGTTTGGAGTTACTGAGGGCAGCGAATACGTCATAACTTAGCAATGAGTGGTGCTCTGGAGTTCATTATCCTCAACGGACCTGTGGCAGGCCGAGACGGCGCAGCCGAAGAGACTATCGGGACTCCAGAGCGGAGCGAACTCTGCTTGGACGGAGACCAGATTCCGGAGCAGCGCGAGCTGGCTGAGGAGAGGTTTCCAGAGCGGCGCTCCGGGCCGATGTGGAGCGGGGAGACCGGGGATAGCTGAACAACATGCACTTCCTGAATCCAAAGCTTTCACAACGAAATCGGACACTGAGGCCGTGAATATTAATTCGACAAAAAAAAAACCAGCCAGGGGATTTGGCGCTGCAGCTCATCACAATCATTAAATGACTCTATTGGCAGAACGTCAAATGCTTTCAGTGTGGAAGCATGGATGTGGAAAGGTGCCGAACGGTCATCTAATCGGATCCGTGCATTTGTCATGCAGTGCCAACGGGAATGTGCTGAGCCAGTGACAGTGAGGGTTAAATTCCACGTTATTAGCTGGAACGCTAGCAAAAAAAAAAGTGGTGGGTCATCATTCTGGATAGCAGGCTGCTGCCAGAGACGGGCCAGTAATTACCTTGCATTCCCTACACGGGCTGAAAATGCTGAAAAGCTCTTTTCCGTGCAATTAAAAGAGACTGATTGTGTTGGGGGGGAAATGCACCAGTGAAAAGGCAGATCTCAGGCTTTGCAGCATCAGGGGAAGGAGCCTGCGGGCGTGTATCTGAGATGGGGATCTCTGTGGGCTGCCTGGCCTGGACATGCTGGATCGGAGGCAGCAAGCGAGTCTGTATTGGTGCAAGAGCGTAAAATGGCAGGAGCTCGCTGGCTCGCCTGTGGTCCTGTCCTGCCAGTGCAAACAGACTGACCGTGCCCCCGTCCCTCTCTCTCTCTCATTCTCTCTCTCTCTCTCTCTCTCTCCAGGGCTGCGTGTGGAGCAAGAGGTGGTGACCTCGTACCCTCAGGTGGCCGTGGTGCGGGTGCCCACCCCCTGGGTGCAGTCGGACAGCGACATCACCGTGCTGCGCCACCTGGAGAAGCTGGGCTGCCGGCTGGTGAACCGGCCCCAGGCCATCCTGAACTGCGTCAACAAGTTCTGGACCTTCCAGGAACTGGCGGGCCACGGCGTGCCCCTGCCTGACACCTTCTCCTACGGTGAGCCCAGAGCCCTCCTGGCCCCAGACACTGCTCTTTTCCTGAAATAGCACTGGAGCGTATGTGGCTGTTTGTAACGGAACGCCAAAAAACAAAATCCCAACACGTCATCCTAAATGTTTTGACTTGGACAGAATTGATTGCACTGCTGTGAAATGCACTGCTCGTGACTTGAAATCTTCTAGATTTCTTTTACCCTGAATATCCTGCACAGCATACGCACGTGACAGCAGGTCTTCAATCACACCCTCTCCCACAGTGAGGAGCGCGTCCTGGCGTAATAAATAAAAAGCTCCGTTCCTTTCCTGTGCTGTAAGCGGGGTCTGGCAGCAGTGCTGGGCTTGCAGAGCGCATGACTGTGATCTTGATAAAGTGCACTGAGGGGGCAGGCTTGCAGCTGTGTGCATACTACTGAGACTGCCTACACATACGACTCCAGAAAATCCTAGTGGAATAAGAATCGCTGATTAATACTGCAATGAAGTTTGCAGCCTCCGTGACCTATTTATGCTGTGGTTTGGATGGTGGTTTCTGGGAGGGATATGTAATGGCACTGACAGGGGTGATTCACACTTAACCCTGAAGGACAGCTGCAGGAGTTTGTTCTGAGTAATCAGAACTGTGGGAGGATGCGCAGAGGTGCAGTTATCAGGCTTTACTTCCTGATTGCTTCACAGATGCAAGACTTCTTCTCCCTCGGTTTGATATTCAGCTGACTGCTTCACTGCAACAGCCCAGACAGCTAGATCACTGGGGCATCGAGTCCCCCAGTGACTTGCTTTTACCTTGCAGGAAAGCCAATCAAGGTAACAGTTTCATGCAGCTGTCCCAGTGACACTCCGATCAGGTCTCAGCAGACCTCTGGAGAGCTGCAGGTTGCCCCTGGTGGCATCACCTTTGCACAGGTGTGAACCCAGTCTGTGAAGAGCAGCTTGTGAGGTACCCAGCTGTTCAGCCAAGAGCATTCGATTAAAGCTTAATGTTCACCTGTTACTGTGATGTGCTGTCGTCTAGTTCATAGTTATTGAAATCCTTAATTGTGGCTGATCCTTTTCCCCATCAGGATATAGCATGTTTTCCATAAGCGTCTGAATTGTCCTCGGTGTCTTTCCGTGGTAGAATATTCCCAGGCTTGTGAGCGAGCCCCCGGAGTGCCTTGCTCCTCGAAATGTAGGGGCGATGGGCGCTGACGGCCTGTCTTCTTGTGTGCGCAGGGGGCCACGACAACTTCCGCAAGATGATTGACGAGGCCGAGCCGCTGGGGTACCCCGTAGTGGTGAAGAACGCGCGTGGGCACAGAGGTGTGTGGTCCTTTCTCTCTCTCTCTCTCTCTCTCTCCCTGCCAGGCCACCTCCTCCTCCACTGCCCCAAATCCCCCAGGCTACACTCACCGCAGTACTCATTTACCCACTGTGAGAAACCCCGCTTTGCTCTGCAGATCACAACAGTATCCTGGCATCACGGCCTCTTGCCCTTCTGGGTTATCTTTTCCCCACGGGTCCAATTTACGTTTTTGTCCAGAAAAACAGCAGAACGTGGACCATTGACATAAGTGTAAGTGCAATTAAAACCAAAAAAACAGCAGGCACTTTGCACAAAGGGTTGTGGGAGTGTGGAACAAGTCACCCAGCTGTGATTGAACACAGCAGCCTGGCTTTTCTCAGGACATGGCTGGCTGAGATCCTGGGAGCAATAGGTTTTCTCTAATTGATAACTTTTAACTGCATTCAGTCCTGAGTTTTAGAAAAACTCTAGTTATTTCTGATAGCTTCAGCACACAGAACGTTTGTGTAGTTTCTTCTCTGCTTGTTTTTTTAAAAGTTTGCTCCCTTATTTCTGACTGTTGAGCTCTTAATTGGTGATGAATTAAACGCTTTTCCTCCTGCTTATGTGCAATATTACAGCTCACACTTCCTTGCATGTTAAGGAGGGGAGTTCTTAAACTCACAAATTGGCACAGGGTTTGTACCACTTACAAATCTCATTAACCTTTTTATGAGCTGAAAGTCCTCAAATAGAAACTTGGGCTAAATGAGCTTGTGATTAAAAATAGCAGTAAGAACCGGAGGTCAGAGGGGCCAGGACTGCGAACCCAAAGCTGTTAATGATTTTTGTAATGCAAGCAAAACAATCTTAAAAATATGATTGAACTGTTCAGTATGTCTGCAATTCTTAAGACACCTTGAGTTTCCACTGGAATACATAGGTGCTTTATATTATTAAGAGCACTGGTTTATCAGTGTAAACCAGTAAACCAGTGACCCGTCCTGTCCACAGTTGCAGAAATAGCCCAGCATAAGATAAGATATAAGATATGGTATATCCCATGATTCCTAAGAACTGCAAAGTAGTAGCACACCAGACCTTTTCCTCAGTGTGCTGTTGTTGAGAGAGAAGGCTGTTTTGGGTGAGTTTACAAGATGCATAACTGCTCATGCTGAAGGCAACAGCAGACCCGGCTGATGTGGCAGTTCAAACATTGAGGATGACAGGCAGTGCTTGAGGGAAAACGAAACCTGGACGTACAATTTAGGCCACAAGAAGCTACGGAGCTGCTACCCACATGGTGCAAACGGCTTTTGGCTCTGTGGTCCCATTCTCTATGGACAGCTATGAACATTGGATGGAATTGATACTGCCTTGTTGGAGCTCTGATTGTTGCTTAAGGTTGGCCCTTTTGCTAATTGAGGCATTTTTCTAATATTGTGGATGGACAGTATGTGTGTTTGTCAATGGGGTTAGATGAATTAGTGCCTGTTTATAAATTGAAGAGACCTATAACAAAAAATCTAATCCTTTTGCTAGAATGAATTAAAGGCCTTATACAGCCTTCTTGGCAGAGCTAACTGAGGAACAGATGAGCCCTGGTCCACCAGGCTTTTCATATCTTCAGGCAGAATTCGTCTCTGCGGCAGGGGCCTGCTGTTCCCCTGGGAGTGAAAGGGATCGATCTCCAGAGACAGATTATTGATGAGCTCTGACAATAGCCGATGCAGCCCTGGGGCCGGCTGCCCACTGCGGCTGCAGTGTTGTCACAGAGAGCCGCCTGCACCGGGCGCAGATCAACGCAGGGCTCTCTGCAGATGCCGGCTGGCGCCGATAGTGCCGTTTTGTTGGACGCTGGCCGAGATCAATGCCCTGCGCGTAATGAAAAGCCCTTTCTCTGAACGGCGCGCGCCGGGCTGCCTCGGTGGTTTTAACAAACGGACAGCTTTTCTCAACAAGCGCACACTTGTTATCCCCAGTGGCAGGAGACGCCAGGTCCTCTCCCTGAGGCTGCCTGTTCGCACGCCAGTCAAATGTGAGCACGCAGCTCGAACGAGCCAGTAGAGGACTATCGGAGAGAAACGAGGACTGTGATAAAGATGCTATTTATAGTGGAAGTTGCCGTTCGCGGTGTTGATGCCCCCATCAGCGCAGGCTGTGGCCCTGTCCTCACTTTCCCCTCGAGTGCAGTGTGGCCGTCGCCGCCTGGGGTGGGTATCTGAGGGCAGTGCAGGCTTGTCCCCGTTTGTTGGCAGGCAGACAGGCCAACAGGCTTTTGTTCTCCTGGCGTTCTCTGTTTTTCTGTGCCAGGGCCCTGATCAGCGCAGCTGAAGAAGCCAGCCAGCCAGCCAGCCAGCTGGTTGCTGGACAGGGTCCCACCAGTGCTGGGAGCTGGGAGCAGGGTTAAGGCCTTCCACATCCTCTCAGATCCTAGCTTACAAGACCAGACTCACCAGGGGCTCGTTCAGTATGAAACATGAAGCGTTGCACCTCGTGAAGTATTCACAGCCGATGTTAGTCAATACGTGTGGAGGATGCAGGATAATAATAATAATTGCTTACACTCATATAGCGCTTTTCTGGACACTCCACTCAAAGCGCTTTACAGGTAATAGGGACTCCCCTCCACCACCACCAGTGTGCAGCCCCACCTGGATGATGCGACGGCAGCCATAGTGCGCCAGAACGCTCCCCACACACCAGCTCTCAGTGGCGAGGAGATAGCTGATGTCCCAGTGCAGTCCAGCGAGGGTCTGAAGCGAGTTTTAATTTGTTCCGAAAAGGGCAGGCCATTTTCTGGAGAGAACCCAGGGGGGAATCGCAGAGCGCGCATCCTCCCGGAATCCCGGAATTCGGTCTTTTTTCAGGAAGGTTCACAGTCTGACAGCCCGCCCTGACCACTCTAGTGCTGCCGTGAAGGGGTGATGAGAAGCGATCATTGCATAGGATTCAGAACCCAGACAAGGCTCTTTCCACACATGGCTCAGTGGCTGTTTTCAACAAGGTCATCCCTGCCTTTCAGTTATTCTTAATATGTCACATCAGACAGATGCCTGTCTCCCTAAATTTAGAATGAACCCCAGGTTTTACATACAACTCGTTTACACCCGGGCAATTACCAATGAGAAAACGGAACTCATTTCTAGTTATAAAGACAGATTTAATGCAACTCTTTAATGTTCTTGGGCAGCACGGTGACACAGTGGCTAGTACTGCTGTTGTCGTGGGTTCTATGCCTGGAACGCTGTCGGTGTGGAGTTCTCCCTCTGTTCACCTGGGTTTCTTCTCGCAGTCCAAAGACGTACTGGTTCATAAATTGGGTTCAGGGAAGATTGGCCCAGGTGTGAGTGTGTGCCTGTTTGTGTCCGTGTGTGTGCTCTGCTGCGGACTGACACCCTGTGTAGGCTGACTCTGCCTTACACTTGTTGCTTGCCAGGATAGGCTCTGACTCCTCCATGACCCTGTATTGGATAAAGCTGTTATCAAAGGGATGCAATGCTCTCTAAAATTGTTTCATTCTGGAAGATGAATGATTTTAACGTGTAATGATGCATTGTGTTTGTACTGTGGCGGCGAGGGGACTGCATCTGTTCATAGCAGGGAGCAGTTCTTCTTACTGGGGCGATGACCTGCCTGTAGGACACTTTCCAGATCGCACAGCAAGCAGAAAGCAGACCTCTGCTGACACGTCACAGGTTGTCCTTGCCGAGTCCTGATTTCGGGGGGAGACAGTTCCGAGTCCCGGTCTGAGCTGGATCAAAACCTCACCCCACCCAGCAATCACAAACTCCCCAGCCAGCGCTCGATGACAGCTTTGCGTTTTTGAGCTGCTTCTTCCCTTCCGGCCGCTGCCAGCCCGCCGTTGAGCGCTGGGCCTGCAATTTGCGGCTTGTTGGGGGGGGGGGATTTCAACCGCAACTGTGTTTCACGCGAAAATCGATACCGTTAAATCTGCTGCCACTGCAGTGAAGATTTTGAAGTATTTTAGAAACAACATAAAAGCAGGCCCATATTATGATATATATGTTATGAAGTGGTGGTGTTGTGAGCACTTATGTGACCTCCCTTATAAAAGTTTCCCTTGGTAAATGAAGCTCAGAGTTTTCACTTCTGCTTTGACTGTGGGTGTGCTGTGGTTTCACTACCTCCTCACTGTGCCTCTTCACAATCCTGTACTCAGGATTGTGGGAACTCTCATACACCATGATAACATTTCTAATGTCTGTTTACTACAGCACAGCATGGTGTAATTATAGTCAAGTGTAGTAAAACACAGTGAAGGGGTGTTCTAACCCCTTGTGAAACCCAGGCAGAAGAGCAATAGGATTGTTACGTTTGCTGAGGTCAACTTTAACAAGGCCAGACTGTGGCTCTGTTGCCTAATCCTCACCAGGACAGCTGGTTTGAATGCTGACCACACAAAGAGAACGCGTTTGCTTTTGTTAGTTCACTGCAAACAAACTCCTGGTGCCTGGCTGTGTGAGAACGGATTAAATTGTGGCGAAGGACGATGAAGCATAGTTTCATTAGGCATGAATCTGAAACAGGTCCGATAACACCCCACACACCCCCAGCTGAGAGATCACCTGAAGAATAGAAAGCTCAGCTGAGGGGCTTTCAAAGACAAGAGAAGCGCAGATCAAGTGCCCGTGGTCCTGGGCGTGAGTCACATGTCTCAGATGAGAAATTGAATTTCTCCTTGGCCCGTATGAATTCTTGCTGTTGTAGCTTTGCCCTCGTACCAGACTGCCAGTGCTGGGTGTGTTCACCTGCCGTGCGCTGGAGCCTTTTGGGATTTCTAGTTGTTTAAGTTCTGAGATTTCTCATCCAAAAGATCAGTTCGGTTTTTGTTTTGTTTGGCACCCCCTTGCCTCGTTCCGCCGCAGGAAATCGTGAGCGCCGTTATCTGCTCATTTACTGCTCCTCTCTGACAGATCACTAACAACAGGCTCCTGATGGGCATTTCTCCAGATAGCTGGTCTAGGCTGCAGATTCAGCTTGACCACTCTGTATATATTTTGGGCTGCCCAGCAGACGGAGAAATGAAATGAAAGAGCTGGACCTGACTTGTCCTTACAGTCTAGAGTCCCTTTAAGCCAAGGATGCTGGCCTGAGCTGCAGTATTAACTTCCCAGGAATTATAGAGCCATGGTTGTTGTTGTTAGATTAAAAGGCAAATACAGTAATTGCATACCTAGTCCTAATAAATCTCATAATGTTCTTTGATTCATTTGCTTTTGATTGGTGTGAAACACTAATTAAACTACTTTCAACGGCACAAATCGGCACAAACGGATGTAGTTTGTGCCGCTTGTAGGGGGTCCAGGCTCACAGAACAGAAATCCCCCGGAACTGTCTGCTCTTCCGACAGGCAGTGGGAAAAATGTACGGAGCAGTGTGTTCATGTGCTTCGCTCCCAAGTTCACCCCCCCCGGGTCCGCGGTCCGCGGCGGAGGGTGTGACGGGCCTCGTCTCTGCCTCTCCTCAGGGAAGGCCGTGTTCCTGGCGCGGGACAAGCACCACCTGTCCGACCTGTGCCACCTGATCCGGCACGAGGCGCCCTACCTCTTCCAGGAGTACGTGAAGGACTCCCACGGGCGGGACGTGCGCGTGGTGCTGGTGGGGGGGCGCGTCATCGGCTCCATGCTGCGCTGCTCCACCGACGGCCGGATGCAGAGCAACTGCTCCCTAGGTGAGTCCCCTGCGGAGATATTAATAATAATAATAATTGCTTACATTTCTATAGCGCTTTTCTGGACACTCCACTCAAAGCAGTAATGGGGATCCCCTCCACCACCACCAGTGTGCAGTCCCACCTGGATGATGTGACGGCAGCCATAGTGCGCCAGAACGCTCACCACACACCAGCTCTCAGTGGGGAGGAGAGCAGAGTGATGAAGCCAGTTCATAGAGGGGGATTATTAGGAGGCCATGATTGGTAAAGGTCAATGGGAAATTTGGCCAGGACGCCAGGGTTACACCCCTGCTCTTTTCGGGATTTTTAATGACCACAGAGAGTCAGGACCTCGGTTTTATGTCTCATCCGAAGGACGGTGCCTTTTAACAGTATACTGTAGTGTCCCCATCACTATACTGGGGCATTAGGACCCACATGGACCACAGGGAGAGCGCCCCCTGCTGGCCCCACTACCACCTCTTCCAGCAGCAACCTTAGTTTTTCCCAGGAGGTCTCCCATCCAGGTACTGACCAGGCTCACAGCTGCTGAGCTTCAGTGGGGCTGTGAGTTGTGAGTTGCAGGTTGATATAGCTGCTATATATGACAATATAACCGTCACTGAGTAGTTATTACAACTAACTTCCTGACAGTATATTATTTTATACTGAAAAGCTAAAATCGAAATTAAAAATACTTTTTTTTTTAAACTGAAAAGCAAAAGCCAAGCTGTCTTCAGACTCACAGCAGAGAGAAGGAAGAGACGGTAGACCGGTTGACAAGGTGACTCTGTCAGGAGCCGGTGGCACAGAGCTGACCGCGCAGAGCTCCTGACTGACCTGACTGACCTGACTGACGCCCCCTCTTGTCCCGCCAGGTGGCGTGGGCATGATGTGCCCGCTGAGCGAGCAGGGCAAGCAGCTGGCGGTGCAGGTGTCCAACATCCTGGGCATGGACGTGTGTGGCATCGACCTGCTGCAGCTGGCCGACGGCTCCTTCGTGGTGTGCGAGGCCAACGCCAATGTGGGCTTCATCGCCTTCGACCAGGCCTGCGGGATGGACGTGGCGGGCATCGTGGCCGACTACGCCCTCTCGCTGCTGCCCAGCCGCCTCACCCGCAAGATGTCCCTGCTCTCGGTGGTGTCCAGCGCCAGCGAGACCAGCAGCGAGCCCGAGGTGTGCCCGCCGCCCAGCACCATCCCCGAGGCCGTGTGCACCATGAGCGTGGGCTCCACCTCCAGCGAGAGCGACCCCGAGCTGGCCGAGACCCGCGACGCCCCGCCGCCCCCCCACCCGGCCCTCCCTGACCCCGCCTACAACATCAACAAACTCCTCGCCAACGAGATCAAACTATTGACTGAGTGAGCCGGGCGCTGCCCGAGCCCGCAGAGCCCTGGCACACTGACACACACACACACACACGCTTACATACAGACGACACACACGCAGACACAGCCCAGGCTAGCGCACATGTACATGCCAAGATCCATGCCCACACACGCACAAACGCATGCGCCTTTCCATGCTAGTCCATTGACAAACATCCACACAGAGGACTGACAGGCTGCTCCCCTAGTTGACCTGCTGTCTGCCCTGTGAAGGAGAGTTTACAGCGCAGCCTGGCACTAGCGAGGCAAGTGCTTAAGTGCATGACGACAGAATCATCATTTCACCGCATGAGAGCGAAGGCAAACTGGCAGCAGATTTGTAGTGCGTTTTAATTGGTTTAGTCCAGTAAAATGCACCTGGTACCTGGTACTATGCATACTTTTATGAAAGGTCAACCGCAAAACCGCAACTAAAGATACTCACCTGACTACTGACATACTGACGGATAACTGAAATGATTTAGGTGAACTGGATTGTTTTTAGCTTTTTTTATTCTGTGGGGTGGGGGGTGGTAGTGGTGTTTTGTAGGAGAAGTGAACTTGAGGACATTTTGAGAGAAGGCTGGTGTTTGAGTGCAGAGTCTCTTGCCAGGTTTTACAGCACAGCTCTCTGCTACAGCAAGTCTGGCTCTGGTATCTTAACGTCATCCTGGGCTTTGGGCTGAAGGAGTCTGACTGCTGCCAAAAGAAACAGGAGCCAGAACAGCTGTAGCACAGAAAGCACCTGCTCTCCAGCCATTAGGAGGCAAAGGGAAGAGAGAATAATGATTTTCGGCAACACACACCTTACACAGTGCGACTGACCACTTACACGACCCTGACACTGAAGTGTCTTTCCCCAGACTCTTTTGTACTCAAACACTAATTTTATCAAGATAAATGTGAAGCAGTTTAAGTAGCATCAGCAACCAGTGGTGTCATTTGGGGTGTAAGAAAGCAGCAGATGGTTATTTGTACTCAGCTGACTGACAATAAACAGGATTGGGACCGGTGACTTCCGAGTTATTGTTCACCGGTGTGGCTATGAGCATCAGATCTCACCTTCCACTGGGCCTTTTACGCACTTTAAGAAAAACGGTTTACAGGTTTCCCAGACAGCGTGGGGGTGTGAGGAGCGCACCCTGACGGAGCTGCCGGGGGTGGACGCAGAGCTGTCCCGCTGTGCGCGGCGAGGACGGGCCTGGGCCCCTCACCTCCGGCGGTCTCCCGGTCCGGCCCCGCTGTCTCGCGGTTCCCCGCCCCTTTCCCCCGGCAGTCAGTGACCAAGAGGTGAACCCCTCGTGCTCGAGGAGCGAGCCCATCGAATTTGCAGACCTGCGACTTTCCTTCCACTCTGGTCTTCGACCCCATGGGTGGGACGCAGCTGGGTTGGGTCGGTTTCAGCTGCTTTAGGGGGATTTCCTGCATGAAAGCTTCATCTTGCATGACCATGACCCCCCGGGGGTCCGCAGACCTCTGGGACCCGTCAGTGTCAGTGTGGATGCAGACCTGCTTCTCTGTCGTTGGCTGGCGATGAGCACAGGCCACACAGCTCCACCTCTCGAGCCACTCATAAGACATGAGCGATGAGGGGAATTCCCCAGTCTGATGCTCTAACTATGGCAGGATCACCCTGACCCTGCAAAATGATAAACGGCAGACCTGGAGTAGGTCTTGCGCCGATGACTTCAGTGTAGCATGAACCGAAGTCTGGATTCAAGCTAGTCTCATGAACCTGAACCATCCCTGCAATGCACACACGCCTGTTTTAGTGGCAGTATCTGTAAAGGGAATTCCTGCTCATGCAGACTCTTAACCTCATACAACACTCTGGGAAGCAGCCTGGACCTCAGTCCCCTTCGTCAAGGCATGAGCAACATATCCATTAGTAGCTAGAGATCTGCCTAAAATGTGTATTGACAAAAAAATCCACTTTTTAAACTATGAAAAACACACAGTGTACCAAGAAGGTTAACATGCTATTTCTTCTTTGCTTGTTTTATAATGTTCAGTGTTTTTTTATTTATTGTATACTTTTTTTTAAAAGGAAAAACTTCGTTTGTGTGCACTAATGTGTCTCAATGAAGTGAGACCACTGTGAAGCTTGGCCTTTGTGAGAAATCTTCCTAACAGCCTGGAATCCACCAGGAGTCTACACAAGGTGATAACTGTGAGCTCACCAGTGCTAGTGGTCCCACTGGAGAGAGAAAAGGTGTCAGTGGTCAGTGCTGCACCAGCAAAAATAGTTTATTGCATTTATTGCATTATGTAGATGGATTATATCTTGAAGCGGACTGTGAAATTAGTGGCTCACCAGAAGACTGTGGGATGTGTAGATAACAACTCTCTCTGTTAGCTGAATAGTGCCAATTGTGTGCATTTTCCTGCTCTTAACCTTCTTAATCCATTTCTGTGACTAAATGTGATCTGTGTGATTCTCTGTCTTTGTATCTTGCTTACACTGTGACCAGGCATGCAGACTGCTCGATTCAGAATCGCTCTGTCTCTGACACATCTGGGAGCAGGGATATTGGAAGCCCATTAGTGAGGCACTGCGGTCTGAAGCACGTGCGTCACCGAGCCATTTCCCACTCGATCTGCTTTTCTTCAGCAAAGCGACTTTTTAGGAGCTGTTTTTTTCTTGAATGTCTAGTTTATGTGGCTGCCGGTCTAAGCAGGAATACACTCAGAGGCTCAAGCAGAACAGCCACCAAAATACAGCAGAGAATACTCAACAAGAGGGTGATCAAAAGGCAGAATAACAGGATACATCCGTTCAGCATTCTTTTAGATAACACTACGTACATAACTCCGATCACAACCACTCTTGAGTCCGGTTCGTTTAGACAGATCCCATAATACGCAGTTATGACGAGAGTTTCATGCTGTGATAGTTCTCTCACATGAACCATGCCCATATTGTTGCACTGATCTCCTGGTAGAATGGTCTTTCGGAAGAAAGTGCATTTCTTCGCTATCAGCAATCAGAGTAATCGGATCTTTTTTTTTAGTCGAAAAATGTCTGTCTTAAATTCTGCTCCCCATTATGAAGCTCTGAAAAACTGAAAACTGCATCTCACCTTCAAAGACACATACAAGGGAATTCTTGCAACATCTGAGTTTACCAAAAGCTACCCAGTGGTCAGATTTACTACTTACAGGCTTTTGTGAACTCTGAAGTCAAAATGCCAAAAAACACAAAACATTTTCATTTTCAGTATTGTGCATTAACAATGGAAACTATTGCATGTCATTTTTTTTAAAAATAATTAGTCCTTCACAGTTTTGAGTAGCCTTGAGATATTTGAGATGGAATATTTCCATTAGTCTAAAATAGCAAGGACACGCTGTGGAGGCCACAAGCTTCGCAATGAAACGACATGTCATTTGAAGGTTGAACGATTTGAACAATGGAAGGGTCACACCAGTCTTAAAACAAGTTTCTCCTTTTAGTATTCAAATTTAAAGTACTAGGATACTGGACATGTCACTGCTGTTGTCTTGCGCCTTGATTTCGAGAAGCTGGCCTGAATCACAGCAGCCACCACACCTCTTCCTAGCTGTGTTGAGGGACAGCGGTCATTGGTTTCTAACACTTCACACAGATTGGAACAGTGGCTTTTCCATTAGTTCACCAGTTCCGGATCTCAGTAGCCGAGTGTGGGTTTAAACCAACTTGGCAATTGAAACTTGCTATCGTACTGCTTCTGGGCTTTCTCACTAAGGTTTCAGAACAGACGTCTTTAAAGATTCAATTCTGTCTTTTCGAATATTTATGCAGTTCGACGGTTACACTGTAATGCCATTTAAAAGCAGTGTAAATGAAATAGCACTTTAGATATCTCTTTATGTGAGGATTCCATTTAACAGAATCCCGCCCCCTCAAAAATGCATTGGAATGTAATATCATTTCATTTAGCGCACAGTGATCCTTTAAAGCAAGGAAGACGGCAATCGATAAAATTCAAACGCCTTCCTAACCGTGAATCTGTTTGAAGTGTGTTAATGCATTTTCATGTGCTCATCTCTTGCAACTGCTGTCTGGCAAGGTGTTTTTTTTAAAAAAAAAACAACTGGTTGAGTTCCAATATCCACGTTTTCTTCACCCATCCTCTGGGAAACAGGATCTTTTCGACAGGAATGTCTCAAAATTCTCCAAGAGCATGAGATCCCACACAATGGGCTGAACCCTTTGCAATCCATTATGAGACCATTCGAATCCCCTTTGGACAGTATGGCTTAAAACGGGTGACCTGTTGCCTGGGGCTCCAGTCATCTCACGGGTCAAGCGGTTTTAAAGATGGTTTTGGACTGGTGAGAAAAGTATACTGACAGAGTGACAACTTTCAAATTCCATTTTTTTTTGTGTTCTTTTATCATTTCTGTTGTGTTGGATGATGTAAATAAACCCTGTTTTTTTAGGTTAAATAAAACAAGTCATTATAACGCAATACAAAGTGGAGCGTGTCTTGTCTTTTTTTTTTTAGCTCCCGTTAGTGACCACAGTTATTTTCTTCTTCCGCACTGGCCTCTCGAGAGGTCTGATTTACAGGCAGGCCACTGTGCCAATTTCCCAGGCAGCTGCTGGCTTTGGGGTTATGCCACTGATTTGCTGTTATTGTCACATTTGTTAAACGTCAGACACAGCAGCCAGTATTCACATGATGCTGAATATGAACAACTTCCAAACTACTTCAGTGACGGATAAATAAAACCAATACAGAGTAGGTTACTGTAAAGCCATTCAAATCAAAATCAGCTCCTGTTTTTCTGTTTTCTGTGCACAAATGATTACAACTAATTTTCGGATCATGGTAAATCAATAGGTGTAAAATGTCTCCAATCTGTCACATCTGACTCGCTTGAGTTATTGAGGCACAGCACTGAATGATGTGTATTTCTGTTGAAGACCAGGAAGAACTTGAGCTTTGATGATCATAATAAATGAGCAAAACATGTTTTTAACAGACTTCACAACGACAGGCAATGAGCTAGTCTCCTGTCCCTGCATCCTGGAGAGCACTGCTCATCCCCTGTAACGCCAGAACGCAGCGCTGAGCCCTGAAGCAAACTTGGTCTTGAAGTGGTGTCTTTGCTTCTGTTGTTTTCTGTGTAATTCCTGTGAAGCTGCTCATTGGCAGACTCGCCTTCCTTCACATGCGTCTTATTTACTTGGCTCGAAACCAAGGAGTTGCCACGTGTCGACCACATGGCCATGGGCCTGACGGTGGTGTTTGCCTATAATCTCGAACCTCTAATCTCACCGCAGTCTCCAATCTCTATCTCACCTATAATCTCGAAACTCTAATCTCATCACAGTCTCCAATCTCTATCTCACCTATAATCTCGAACCTCTAATCTCACTGCAGTCTCCAATCTCTATCTCACCTGTAACCTCTAATCTCACTGCAATCTCCCATCTCTATCTCACCTGTAACCTCTAATCTCACCTGCCGTCTCCAATCTATCTCGCCTGTAATTTCTAATCTCACAGCAACAATGGGGACTCCCCTCCACCACCGTTGTGTAGCCATGATTAGTAAAGGAAATTTGGCCAGGATGCAAGGGTAATGCCCCTACTCTTTTCAAGAAACGCCCAGGGATTTTAAAAGACCACAGGACCTCGGTTTTAAGTCTCATCCGAAGGACCGCGCCTTGTGTGCCCGTCACTATACTGCGGGCCCACACAGACTGCCGGGTGAGTGCCCCTACTGGCCCCACTAACACCTCTTCCAGCAGCAAACGTAGTTTTTCCCAGGAGGTCTCCCGTCCAGGTACTGGCCAGGCTCACACCTGCTGAGCCCCATTGGGCTGCCAGCTGTGAGCTGCAGGGAGATTGTCTACAGGGCAGCAGGGACTGACAGCCGAGGTGTCTGCTCCTATTGGAAAGGCAGTGGCCTGACCGCAGGTGTCTGGTTACAGGTGTTTTGCCAGTGCCCCTGAGCCAGTGCCATGACATCGATAAAACAGGAGAGTGAGTCCGAGCACACTGCACTGGAAGCGATCTGTATGGGATTGTAAAAGGACATTTCGTATCAGCTCAGTGATTATAATTAAACACAGTGAACATGAGAAACCAACCTATTCTCATCCATCCATTTTCTAACCACGAGCAATTTGTTAAACAAATACACTGTCAGTAAAATCAGAAGCATTGAAATCAGATGCTAATTTAAAGCAAGAGTCAAGAGTCTTTTAAAAGTGAATTATACCTGCATTCATTTTTGTTGGCAGGAGCCTTTTTTTAGTAAGTTGGTGGTTCAGTGATCGTTATATACCTCATATTTGACTTTTTTAAAGAACGTAGTAAGAAATTAGCCATTATAATTGATAAGATTTTACTGTGTATCACTCAGGCACTCAGTAGGTACACTATGTGCAACATACAGGGAAACTCAGTCAAATTGAGTTGGTATGACTTTATTTCGTCTGGTTTGTCTTTCCAGATTAAAGAATTATCGTGAATATCTATATCTTAAGATATTATATCTAGTTATATATGATATATATATATATCTTTAGATATGTTTAATATATACACAAACATGCATTTCTTTTGAGTACATTAGAAAACCAAGTGAAAAAGTGAGCTAACGTGTCTGATGTGTAAACAATCAGTGTATTCTAACTGGGCTGAAAAGTTTAGCTGACTTTTAGAACAACCTGTGACCTATAAAAAGGCAATATGGCCTATTTCTTTTACTAATGCATTCATTATTCATTATGGGTCATTAGGAGAGACATCGTTGTGCTACACCCTTGATAAAAATTGGGTTAAGGTAAAAAATATGAATATTTCTCTGGTTTTGCACTAAAAACCCACAACATGGCACAACTATTTTCTCCTTTAGTTCAAGTGGGGATCTGCGCCAGCATGTCTAGGCTGCAAAGGAACAAGTAAAGGTTTATTCTAACACGTGTTTCTTTTCTTCTCTTTTCAGCATGGAATAAACCTTTACTTGTTCATTTTCTCCTTTAGTCGGGCAGTTTTGAGCTTTTTTTTCTAAATAGACAAACCATCTCATTTGCACGTGATAAATCCGGCACCTTCGGACTTGACAGATGTTCTGCAATAACAAGGTTTCACAGCCAGAAAGATTCAACAATAATAAAAGCTGTTCAATCAGGTGATGCACTTTTATCTCCAGCCAATAAGTACAATGACAGTTATAATGTAGCACACAATGAGAATATGTTGTTCCTGCTATTACAAATATTGTGACGAAATGGATTTCTTACCTAAACAAAATGACCAACGCAGGTGCAGTCAGAACAGTGTGAGCAGATAAACTGTTTCGGGCTCTCACTTTCCTATTTAATCGTTACTCATGACAGGACAGGAAGGTGAAACCAGATCATTTTTGGGTCTTAGGGTTGACCCCTGGTGACTTCTGTGGGGAGTCAAAGTTGCAGTTAATGTAATTAGGAGGTTAAATGTGCACATTCTGACCGGCTTAACTTCTGAGACATTCACTGTCCAGGATTGCAGTCTAGTAGACTTGAACAGAACCTGGAGATTGTACGAAGTTACTCAGAGCCAGATACTTCTTCCCTGCTGCTAAAGGCACAGCTTTCCTGAGGATCAGTACCTGCACACAGTGCCCTTGAACAGAAGTCGATGATTACTGAAATGGGGCAGAGTTGTGTGCATGGGCAGCTCTTAGCATTGCTGCCTGACTACGTTCAGTTCCAGACTTGGGGTTCTGTCTGTGTGGAGTTTGTATGTTCTCCCCATGTTTATGTGGGTTTCCTCTGGGTGCTCCAGTTTCCTCCCACAGACCTTCATACTGGTTAACTGGCTTCTGGGAAAACTGGCCCTGGTGCGAGTGTGTGTGCCTGTGTCCGTGAGTCTGTCTGCCATGACGATGAATTGGATGAAAGGGTTAGGGGATGGATGGATGAATTATGATGCGCACACTCCTTAGGTGTACACGCAGTGCTTCATTTGCAAATTACGCCGTGCCTGAGCTCAGTGTGACCTTGACAGAGTGGGCACATCAAGGGTACTGGGCGATAACGGAGCCCTTAACACGACTGTAACACATTGTCATCCATCACCGCCAGTGACAGGATTCCAAGGCAACATAATAATTTGAGATGAGCAATTTCACATACCATAATGCGTACTCTATTTCTGAACCATGTCCACTACGATTGACCTGCCTTCGGGTCCACAGAGCTCCAAAATTGACTGTGATCGCCCACTTGCCTGTACCTTTTACATGACGGGGCTCAGCGCAGTGAGCCGGTTGCAGCAGTGACGTCACAGACTCGACACCTAGACTGCGCAGAATTCGGCAGGGAGGTGCAACAGCACCCGCCGAGGCGCGCTTTGTTTCTCAAACGAGTAGCCTCACTTTTAGGCAGGTTTTAGGAGCGACTGTTACATTATTCACGCACTGACATTCTGAACACAGACAGTCTGAGATAAGCAATGTAGTGGGCCTGCTCTGGGCGGAACTTTTTAATGAGAAACTGGACCCACGTCAGCTCCACATGCAACTCCTCACAGAAGGTGTCTCGGCCCACAGTCGAACCCAGGACCCCTGCGCTCTGAGACAACGGTGCTAACAGGGCTGTCACCGCGCCGCCCGAAACACACGGCAATAATTAGAAATGGCAGAACCACGAGAACAGACATAAATTAATCGACGGTGCACCGCACAGACAGTGCGGAAATAATATTTAGAGACGTTAAACCATAATTAAGTAGCAGCCAGGGTGGATTAGCGAAGAAACCCAACAAGGCAGAGCTGATTACGGGAAGCAGAAACACGGCTTTTGCGGTGGATGATGATGGAGTCTGTCGGCTAGTGCCACACAGTGCAGTCCAATGCCGTATCCCCTGATAGTCTGCACCCCCCCTCCTCTCAAAACCTTTCCGGGACACTTCGGCCAGCTCCTGCAGGGCTGTTGCAGGCTTTGCTTAGCTCGACCTGGAGAAGAAGGAGCCCCTTGTCTGTGTGTGTTTCTATCGGCTTCCCGGCGTATTTAATGCGTTCGCTAGGGATTCGAGTCCTTTAAAAACATTACCTCCACCATGTGAAGGAAAGGTTAAGTTACCTTTACACAAGACAGGGGAACCCGAAAGAAAGCACACGAAGGCTTTGCTTCATTTCGTTTCACATTTGGAGCCTGAGAAAACCCGTGCGCCCCCCCGAGACAGCGGCGCTTGCGCATTTCGGGGTTACAGATTCCCAGGGGATACTGAACCGGGAAAGACACCCCGATACACCGACATTACGGCCTGCGCTGAGCATAGACACGGGGGTCCTTTTAAAACCCCGGGCCTGCAGATGGTTCTGCTGGTTCAGCTAGGGTCGTTGCTTTTCCAAAACGCCGCGCCGTACGAACGGCGTTTGCCGCACAGAGAGAGAGAGAGAAGTGTTTTGCTTTTGTCGTTTTCTTTGTTCACTGCTCGGTTGCTCGTATCAACACCGTGTTGGGGATGAAGGTGGTACTGACCTGCTTTGGATTTGCTGCCGATTTTGAAACTTGTTTTAACGCATTGTGGCGCTCGTCCTGTAACCTCAGGGACATCAGCAGCTGACTGATGCAGAGGCTGGCCAGCCGATACGCTTGTAATCAGGTCTTCCAGTGGTCCATTGGACCGGGCCGGGTGGTACTTTCTGCCCCTCCCAGGCGACTGAATGGGTCAGAGACCGTCCAGCAGGTACCCCCTCCCCCACTCTACGGCCTGATCGTCATTTTATTACCTGCACCGTTGTTATTGTGGTGATTGCAGTCAATCGTGTGGGTTGTTGAAAACGAAGAGGTACTGTAATAATCAACGGGACCCATTTTTTCCTCGTTCTTTTTCTAGTCTTTGTCTGCTTCTGTACAACGATGGCAAGACTTTCTTGGCCAGGTCGTGGGTGTGAATGAGAAACTGGCCTAAAGTGATTGACGCAGTTAAACGGAGGATTCTGACTGTTATTAGAAGTTACAGTCCCTGCGGTTTGGGGGCTGACGGCATGGATATTCCTCATCTGCCCCCCAGTTCCCCACTTTTCATTATTATGTTTGAGACAAGGAATATTGTTTTTCAGCAGCAAGAGCAGGAAATCTTGTGTGGCAGCGTAGTCTTTTTGACCTTGTAGTATTCTCGTTGCTGGATGCATTTCACACAGACTCTGCAGCACAGGGGGCTCATAAGAGAGCCGATTAAAACCACTGTGGAGCTGCGGAGCTGAAGATTTATGACCTGTAAAAGAGAGCCTGTATTCCTTTCACTCTTATAAAAACGTCTCTGCTGAAGTTTGATAACATCGTGCCTTACTATTCTTCCTTTTACCAAGACTGATCTATCAAAACCGACACTTATTAGACTAAACACGGACGTTGTCAGTAATGCACACAATTACAGATAAGCAATTCTTAATCCATAGTACTGAAAGACTTTGAAGTGCAGAGAGATCATGAATTTAGTTTGGTAAGGCTTGCATTACTTGGGTGTCAGGAAAAATGAAGTATGTACCCCCAGTTGTGTTTCTGTGCCCATCCGTGCATGATCCAACAGGTGCAGGGTACAACCTGGACAGGTTGCCAGTCCATCGCAGGGCACAGACAGACACAGACACACTCATATCAGGGACAATTTTCACAGAAGCCAATTAACTCATCAGCTTGTCTTTAGACTGTGGGAGGAAACTGATGTGAACAAGGGGAGAACATTCAAACTCCACACAGACAGCACCCCAGGTCCAGAATTGAACCCAGGGCCCCAGAGCTGAGAGGCAGCACTGCTGACCCCTGTGCCACCCGTCAATGTGTCACTCAACTCAATATTTAATGTTATCTACAACACTCACCATAAGACCCAGCAAAATTCTTTTTGCACAGAAGACGGTTGACAAAATAAAGGTGGAAGACGAGGTTTTTATTTGGAATGTGCCCCTCCAGTTGCTGGCCGGGGTAGTTAGGGTCGGCACAGTGGGGCGGTGTGGTTTGGCACGGCGGGGCCCTGTCGTCGCTCAGGCGCTCCTGGACTCTGCCAGCTGTAGGAGACGCTCGATGGGTTCAGTCAGGCCGCAGTCTGGCACCAGCTGGCTGCAGCGGAGAGCCTTCCTGCCAAACTCCACCACCTGGCAGAAGAGCAAACCCAAACGTCAGGCCTGGAATCCGTCTGTGTAACACGGCCCCTTGTCTTTGCATGAAGACGCCCGCCTGAGGCGTTAGATAAAGAACACGGCAGGCACTCAGTCCACTGACTTCCAGTCAGAAGAGCCTGTAGCCTGAAAATCCGAACCTGCGTTTCCACTGCAGTGACTGCCAATTTCAGTACATTCTGGATGCCCTCTAGTGAGGTTCCTGGTGAAACCTTTTCCTCTCTCTTGTTTAGAACCAGGGAGGGTTCTCAAGTCACTCAACGTGTTAAGATCAGGACATGAGCAAACAATCTCCTTTTAGTCACTGATTCCCTTTCTGACAGACTGGCACAGGGAATCTTAAAATGTAGATTGCCAAGGTCTGTTTCTCTTTTTCATCTTAAATTACCCAGAAAATGCTGTGTGCTCCTGAAAGTAATGGGATGACATTTCCTCACTAGCACTAGTGTCTTCATTAATCCATACCCAATATTATATAATTCAAACAGACACCCTGCTGTGCTTGCTATAGACGTACATTACATATAAAAATACCAAGAACTTCATCAATGAAGCCTAGTTATAACTGCTGGCTCAGGTGTAGGCTGCTGATTAATCCTGGTGAGAGATACCCTAATTTGTATTTATTTATCGAAACGTAATAATTTGTATTTATTTATCGCGAGTCATAAGAAAATGGTTCCAGATAGATTCTTTAACTTTATCCCACAGAGTTAGTTTTTCAAAGGAAGCTTGATCTTTTATTAGATTCAGCCAGTGAGTCTGGGACACATTTTCCCTACATTTCTAATTCATTCATGTAACTGAGGTTCCAGTGCAGACGATAGGACCAGCCCACCATAAGAGAGAGCTGATTTGTTACCTTTTCAACAGAATTGATCCCATGAAGGATGGTGCCAGAAATCGAGAATATAGCTGAATATAGCTGTCCAAAACAATCTTGACAGATTTCTGAGTCCGTCTGGCTCACTGTGAATGTCTTTCGCTATAGTACAATCTGTTCTATGCAGGACTTCAGCATTGCCAGTTCTCCTGAAGGTGTTTGTGCAAACTGATTTCCATGGCTGAAGATGAGGATTGTATCTAAGATTCTTATCCCACTTCTCCTTTGGTAATGTATATCTATTTTGTGCCTGAGGAATAATTAATATACTATAGATGTAGTGCATCACAGAATTGAAGAGGTCTTAATTGTTATTCATTGCATCCTTTCACCACAGATACTGGAATGAAGAACGTTTTTCCCTTGAACATTCCTGCAAGATAAATGTTCTTCATCAAACAAGTAATTTTAATTGAGTGATGCCTGACAGGCTATTCTTGTTCCAGAACATAAATATTAATGGCTGATTTCTAACATGTATTAGGGTTGTTCCATACTGGGGACAGAGTGCGGGGAAGAATTTTGTATTTCAGCATCTCATTTACTTTGCACCCGGCTTTGAATGTCTCCGTTATGCATGAATTATTAAAGCCGGTGTGTTTTAATACTGGTGCTTATGTGGGGAAGGTCTTAAGTTAATTCCAGAAATGACAGGGTTCTTTGGGGAAGATGGAGTGTGGTTTTGCCTCGGTTTAAGGTTGGTGCTCCAGCAGCAGAATCTGAATCCCTGAATCTCTGATTCACGCACTGCAGCCCTGGTGAAAAATGATTTAAAGTCCTCTCTGTCTGCAGTGCAGCCCTGGAAGTGTAACAAAGAGCTGGCAGCAACCCAGGAAGTGTCCGGCCCCAGATACTTCAACCTGTCAGCCCTGCAAGCCCCATTAGTCTCTGCGGCTTTAGTCATTAGCACTAATCCCTTGCCCAGACAGTGCAAGAGAGCGCCTCGAGCTCTGTGCGCGCCCATGTGGGGTGCCCTACCTTCGGCGTGTTGGTGCCCAGGAAGTGCAGCAGGGCCAGGGAGTGGGCGGCGCGGGCGGTCTGGGTGGGGTCCGGCCGGGGGGCTTGCTCGCGGATGTCCAGGATGGCGCCCAGGACCTGCTGGGCCTCAGCCTGCTGCGCCTCGCCTGGGACAGAGGAGGGGGGAAGACGTGACCCCGCTGAGGTTTAAAAGCCGAGGCGAGGTGAGCTTGCAGCAGAGGAAATAAATCAGGCCAGCTGTGCTTGCTTGTTAAACCGCAGGCAGCTCGAAGTTGAGTTTTCTAGTTGTTTTTTTTATATAGCCCTGATCTTATTTCAACACGCACAGCCTTGCAGTAGAGGATTGGGGTTTTCTGGACACCTGGGGGGCTGCAGGGCTCCAGAGCCCAGGGGTGCTGCAGCTTCTAGGGGTCACTCTGCCCAGGGTCACATTGTGGCCCACGTCTGAGCATGAGAGAGTGGGATATGGGCACCGGTCAGGACATTTTCAATGAAAACGCAATTGCTTGTTCTAACGCAAACCGGCTACTTCGGCTACTCTGTAATGTTGTTTCTTTCCCATTTTGTTCCAATATGGCTGGCAGGCCCACCTGTTGATGAGACCCAGGCAGTCGCCCATCCACCTCTCTCCCAGCCGCCCTGTACTCTCCCAGTGAGACACTGGGGGAGGGGAGGCGCAGGAGATTCATTTCCCTCCCATGACCCCTAGAGGGCAGCGTTCCACTGCTGACTGGTTGCCTGTGATGCCCGTGGGCAGATCCAAGCCAGCTGCCCTGATGGGGAAACACGCATCTCGCGAAATGGGAACGGTGTGGTCCGGGAAAGGGCAGGACCGAGCTGGACGCTGGAAGGCGTGTACCCACTGAGAGAGTGCTCCAGAGGGGGGTCTGCCGGCGCGCTGGCGCTGCGCTGGTGGGCCTCCAGCAGGCTGCTCAGGTGTCTGTGCCAGATCGCCGTCACCTGCAAACAGAGTCCCTCAGCGTTAGGGTGCTTTGCTCCCAGCCCACACATAGCCTACACAGCACTGGTGGTAATGGAAATAATAATAATAACAAAGCAAAACTCTTTTCTTAATGCACAGTATTCTCCTGTCAGCATGTTTCTATGGCAACTGTGTATCTATGCAGTGCTGGCAGACTGGGTGCCTTGATGCCTGTGTCTTCATTCCCCTGAGTGTCTGCATTGCTGTGCGTGAAACTGCCGACGCCTTCAAGCTCCCAATCGCACTGACAGCAGTAAGACGTATAGGAATGGTAATCCTCTGCGCAACGGGGTGGTGGAACGAAAGCAGCAAATAGCCTATTAAGTCGTGATTTTTTAAGGAGTATTTTTGGGGTCATAACTGTGACTATGCAGAGAGATGCCATTACACTGAAAATACACAGCAATCTGGGAGGGGGGTGGAATTTCTGGCCTGCACACCTGAGTTACACAGCTATCAGGTCTGGCCCTGCCCCGCACAGCTGTGGAAAACAGTCCTGAAGACACGCAACAGCTCAGATCAGAAGAGTTTTCTTCAGAGCTATCCGCTGTCACAAAGGATTTCGTTAGAAAAATGATTATTTTTGCCATCTGAAACCCCTCAAGAGGCCAGTGAGTTGGCGTCAAAACACAGGTATGTATCTGCTAGCACAGTGAAAAGCAGCCAATTTAAAAAAAACATATTTCCAAGCAGAATTTTTACATCTGAGTATTCAATGGCCAGTTAGTGACACAGTACATTTCTGAAACGTGTTCAGCTCAGACCCTTCAGTAAAATCGCTATCAGATGTCAAGTCAAAACATCCCACGTAGCATTTACAAGGACAAAACACGCTGTGGGTTCTGCTGCAGGGCAGGAAACAAGGCTGATCAGAGCCCACAGGCAGACACACGGGAATGTGGGGAGAAAGAGGCTTTGGGAATAAAGGATTATGGCTGATCAGGGGTTGGGAAGCAGTCAGACTATTTGAAACTTCTGTTACCCAGATTTTGTTCCTCCTCTCACCTCTGTGTACAGGGAGTCCGCAATGTCCATCTTGTTCTGCCGGAAAAATACATTGGCCATGTGGAAATAGCCCCCGCTGGTCACAATGTGGTCACTGCCAAACTCCTCACTGGCATAGTAAACCTGCGTGGCACAGGGGCACAGAGAGCTGGTCATGTGCAGATCACTGCACAGAAGGCATGTGGCTTGCACCCTGTGTCCACACAGTTATTAACAGCTTTACGGTTATGTTACATTAGTCAACAGGTGTCATAATCGCAGAACCGATGGTTACTATACTATACTCATTTGCTATACTAATGATGAACAAGACCCAGATATCTGCAGTACATGTGAATGTGGATTTTAATCAAAAGCAGGAGAAACTACAGGCCTACTTATGAAAACCACAAGGTCCAGTAAAATCTCCAGGTGATGCTGGTTAATCAGCTTCACCTAAGCAGCAATTTTTCCTTTCGAAAAAAGGGTCTTTCATATGGAAATACTCCCGAATTGTGCTTCACCTTAGCAGATGAGCGCACATACAGACTAGATGCCTGGGTGTCTCCGAGCTCAAATGTTTCCGAGCAAGAGGAAGACTGTGTTGGCCTTCTGGGGTCTGGAGCTGATTTTTCATGCGATTCCTCAAGAAATGGCTGGATGAGTCTCTGGGACTGATTAGCTACTGGCAATCAAACAAGTAAGGTTTGCCAAATGGTCTCTGTGATTTATGATCTCTTTTATCTAGTTAAATCAAAATGTTGATTATCGGTCATTTTGTTGTTTTCTGTCTCAACCAAAGCAATTTAGTGCTAAGTGGTACTTTACCACCTTTTGGAAACTCAGTGTTTGCTGAGCTCTGAACTAATAGGGAAAGCAATGATAAAAAGATAAGATACTTTGTGCATGAGTGTTGGTGTGGGTTTGTGCCAGGTGCTGAGGTTCCTCTCCTCTCCCAGTCGTGCAGGATAGTCTTGACGGGCCATGATGAACTGTCCCTTGCTGGAGGGGCTTCAAGGGAATTTCATATGTGGTGGTTGGTTTTCCCCAGGACGACTAACTTCTAAAAAATACAGCTGACGCCCTTGCTACAGACACTGTCAGCCCTGCTGTGGTCTGTGATGCAGGATTTAACGAGAGGACAGCCAGCACAGAACTAATTAAGCCAAATGGGCCGGGTGCTCGCCACTCATCTGTGGCCTTTCCGATGTTCTGCACGCGCAAGGCAAGGCTGCACGCTGGCCATCACTCACGTCGCTGGCGAGGTGCTCCAGCGCCCCCTCCAGGTCTCCCTTGGCGGCGTGCAGCAAGCCCAGGCTGCGGTGCAGCGTGTGCCGGAGGCGCCGGCCGCACTCCGTGTTCTTCAGCACCGTCCACTCGGCCCGGCACAGGTACTCCTCCGCCTGGGTGAGGTTCCCCAGGCCTGCGAGGAGGGGACACACACACACGGCCGTCAGCCACAGCCGGCCTGATCCAGACGACCCCTCCTCTACACGAACCGAGCTTCGGCGGCTCCGTTCAAACCCCCAGCTCTACAGTGGAGATGTGGGATCGAACTGCTGTCACAGAAGGAAGGGGTGGGCCTAACACTGTTAATAACAGGCAAGAGGAGACAGGATACTTTCATATCTAACACGTATGCTCCCAAATAAGCAGATAAAGACCTGCAATTACTTCAGGGTGTTGAATTAAATTCACTGCCTGAATCACCAGGCACTGATTAATTAGCACATGGGCTTAATTCTGACTTGCTTGGATCTCTCCATCTGCAGCAGGCAAGGAGGGGTGGGAACTCGGGGTCTAAAGGCTGCAGTCCCTTTGATCCAGCTTCACTGACTCACCGTTTGGCAGCTCAGCGGTGTGCAGTGCTCTCCAGGGCTTCCAGGCAGATCCACCAGATTGTAAACCCACCAGCGGCAATTATTTCATCTATCGCACCCTCATCATGATCGCCGGTGCTTCAATAATTGATGGAATAATGGCTAGCTTTTATGAGGGTGTTACTGGACTTCAAATAAAATGGCGTTTATTTCAGTAAATGCATCACATGCTGGTCTTTTCACCTTGCTCGTGTGTAAAAGGAATCAGAAGAGCTCTGTGGGCTCAGTGTGGAGTGCATGTAGACGTGAGGGAGGCACAGGGCTCACCGGTGCAGGCCTCCGCGAGCAGCAGGTAGGAGGGGACGAGCTGCAACGCGCTGGTGCCGTGGATCTCCACACAGCAGCGCAGGGAGAGCAGGGCGGCGGGCACGGCTTCCTGGTGCTTCCCCTCGAACAGCTTCTTCTGCGCCGTGGCCCGGGACAGCTCGATCAGCTGCTCCTGTCCCCCACACAGCACACAACACGCCTTGAGCACAGCGGTCAGCACACAGGCCGCAGGCCACAAATGGGTCACAGGTTATAGGTCACACGCAGGCCGCAGGCCACACGCAGGCCACAAATGGGTTACAGGTTATAGGTCACACGCAGGCCGCAGGCCACACGCAGGCCACACACGGGACACAGGTCATACACAGGTCAAAAGTCACACCCGGGTCACAGGTCGAGCACAGGTTGCAGTCACATGCAGCACAGCCTCAGACAGGACTGTCAGTATCAGAATATTATGTCCCAGAGCATAAAACTACTTAGAGAACTTCCCAATCCTTTATTATAAAGTACGAATGGGTTTGTGCTGAAAACTGGCTTCCTGTGTAGAATTTGATCCTCATGGAAGAACCTCAGAATCCAGCCTTTTAAGAGCTGGGACAGTGTGCTGACAGTCTGTGAGAGCCTGGGCAGTGTGGGTACC